CTATCTTGTCGACCTCGTCCAGGAACACGATTCCCTGTTGCGCTCTCTCCACGTTGTAATTGGCGTCTTGTAATAGCTTTGCGATCACAGACTCGATGTCTTCGCCGACATACCCGGCCTGAGTCAGTGTCGTGCAGTCGCAGATAGCGAACGGCACTTCCAGACATCGCGCTATTGTCTGCGCCAGTAATGTCTTTCCACTGCCTGTCGGTCCCAACAATAAAATGTTGGATTTCTCTAATCTCAGCTCATGAGTGGTCACATCCAAGACATCGTTTCCACGGTTCGAGTTTAGAGTCGATTGTCCGCTTGTGGTCGCGTCGGGAATGTCTGTTGACTGGAAGTTCTGTTGGTTCTGAAAGTTCCCGACACCCAAAGCATTACTTGTGCCCAAACCTGTTATGTGCAGCAGATCTAACAAAATGTGACACATTTTTCAACATTTCTATCTATTAATTCAATAGTAACTTAAGGCATACCCTTATGGTTGAAGATTCCGGCAGAATGTGTGTCAACTATATTCTCATTAGTGAGTACAGAGCGGCCAGAAGTAGTGCCACCGCCGCTGCTATTAGTGGGCATATTGTGATAAATGCGTTTATAATGATTATAAACGGCAACCGCTAACACTTTCTTAGCGTAATTCTGTCCGACAACGTTCTTGTCCAAGAACTCAAAGATCTTAGAGTTTGGATCAAATACTTTAAAATAACAAAATCTCTTTCAAATCAAAATGTATTACTTTTTTGGGCGGCGGCGGAGGCTTTCTCTGCACATTGAGTTTCTCGTTAACATTTCGGTTCTCTTTAAACGATTTCTTGGAATCAATTTCGGACAACACGACGAAGAAGTGAAGACATTTCTCGCACTTCACGAAACGGGTCGACGCTATTGTTTATATCCAATCATTGGTTACAAACTTATTAATTACTCTTTAACTAAATAATGCATACAAACAAACGTCTCGACATGAGTGCATGGATTCCCGCATTTAGGACAACACAACTGTCCGTCTTTGCCACCGGTTCCGCTTCCAGTGCCACTCGAACTGTTAAAAGTCTTGTCGCCGCCACCACTGGTCACTCCAGCTGTTCCGCCACCACTTGAACCGCCGCGGAATGAATCGCTACCACCGGGAGGGCCGACAACTATCCTCATATCAACACAACTCAAATGCAGACAACATTTGGTGTCATTCAATGGCTTCAACGGCGGATGCAATAGTGACTTCTTTGGAGACTTCGGGAAAACTATCGATAATTGATGCAAAGGTTAAGCAAATATGACAATCAATGTATGGATTAAATGACAATTCAAAGAGTTTTATGGATTCAAACCATTTGTGTTGAGAACAGGTTTCGAGACTCGAGTGGATATATATTTGAAATCTTGAAATCGTGTCCGAAATGCAGACATAATTATCGTTTGATTCATTAAAGTGAGGATAAACTGCAAAATATAAACATGTGTTCAATGATTGTCTCATTCAATCATTCAATGAATTTCTCTTTGTTTTGTTTTCAATTCACAATTGAATTGAGAGTTAGTTTTGAAATGAATGCGAATTCAAGTGAAAACAATGCAAACCTTTTAAACGCTAATAAATGACAAATATTTAGATATATTTGGCGTTAAAGTAATGATTGTATGAATGGTTTCATAATTGCATTCATTTTCATATATATTAAGAAATAAATTAATTTAATATAAACTTTGAATTGAATTAAAAACAACGAAATTATCACAAAAAACACAAATTGAATGACAAATCGAAAGTGTATTCAATAAACGTATCTATTATTACATCACAAACACATACAGACAAACCTCCGTATGAGAGACCATACCATACCTATCATATCATCTAATTGTTGAGTGTTTAGAAAATTGCTATTTTAATCATCATTTTTTAATTAACAACAATTAACCATTTGTTCACACTTTGGACCATAAATTATATAATTGTTTATTGATATCATTTAGAATTTTAAATGTTAATTAATATTAGCATCACTTTTGTATATGATTTGTTTGTTATGTAACTATTATGTAAGAGTTATTTCAACTTTGAACCATGGTTAAATATGTGAGAAAAGTGGTCTTTCGTATGTGACAACATGTCAATTGTGAGTTAAAGACATGGATAATGTGTGGTAATGATGAGAAAATGAACATGGTACATGACCATGGTCATACAGGTAAGGCTTACAAAGAAATGAATTGAAGTAAGCATTTATTGGAAACGATTGTATTGTTGAATGCGATCACAAGACTAACGTCTCTCACAATAGAGTAAAGCATTCATTCAAAGCGTGTTCTCATTATTAGGAATACTTAGAGTCTCTATTTTTCGGGAATTCCCGATTTTCCCGAATTTTCCCGATTTTGGCACTTTTATACCACCGAGTGATGAGAAAATATCAAAAGGATTTACGGGATG